TCATTTAATTAATGACGCTAATTTGAATTTAATGAGTTCGAAAACAGCTAAACTAGGTAGTTTCTAAGGTATGAGTACAATTTAGTAATTAACATCCTTTTAAATTATTTTGGCTCTGAATAGAATGACACTGAAGTTTGTAGATTTGTAAATTTAGATTTTTATATTAAGTTTATTTATAATAAATTTTCTATATCTCTTTCAGTATGATTCTATTCAGAGCCAAAATAATTTAAAAGGATGTTAATTACTAAATTGTACTCATACCTTAGAAACTACCTAGTTTAGCTGTTTTCGAACTCATTAAATTCAAATTAGCGTCATTAATTAAATGAGATGGATTTTGTCCCCTGAAAACAACTGCCACCCACAATGTGACTGTCTTCTTGATTGCAATGGGCCAGGGTCTCTTGAGTCAATGTACCCAAATCTCATGTGCTCTGCTCCGCCTTTACTTGGCTGTGGAGCATCACTTAAGAATTATATCTGCTCGTTTCTTATTGGCCCCAAACAACAAAAGTGGTACGACTATAAAACATAAGGACAATATATGGTCCCTGAAATCAAATGGCAGTACTTGGTTTTAAGCTGGTCATTCAGATAAGCTGGAATATATCCAAGGCAAAGTTTTTAAGATTTAATAGTAGGGTACCCAAATAATTTTTTAAATTATCTTTAAGAAATTCAGAATGTATTCTAAAACCATTGATTCATATACGTAAGTAAACCTTCATCAATGAAACAAAATAAAACAACATATTTTATTTCTCTTTATATAGTATACCATCATGAAACAAGAGGCAGTCTTGCCATCAAATGCAGGTTGATTTTTATTGTGCTTTCAGCGGATCTGCATTTTAAGATGAGAAAAATATGGAAATCAACTGTCCAATATGGAGAGCACTTCAAATTTATTTGTTAAATATATACATCCTGCTTAAGTGTTGATGGATAGTGAAAAAACAAATTTTACTTGCATAATCAATTTTAAATAAAATTTTAATAGAATTCCCAGAACATTTTCTCCATTTTAGTATCTACTAATGAAAATAAACTTATTCAACTTCACTTCTTATTTTTATAAGGCAAGCACTTTTATTATGTTCTCTTGATGAAAGACAAAACGAAGATTTCAAATGTGACAGCAAAACATTGATAAATCTTACTCACCGGCAGTAGTATGAGAAATACTGCAGAGAGCTAGAAGACATTACAAATGGGAATTTTCATCCTGAAATTCAATGATTAGTGAATAAACACTTACTGCTTGGGCCTCCTCATCCTCAAATTTGAGAAGCTCCAAAGTACAATCTTCTTCCAGAGGACGGTCCAGGTCCCAAACAACTTTATTCACTTTAGCAATAACGGTGTTATCAGCCAGGCCTTGACTTAAAAAATATGCACATATGTATAAAACACAAGACTCTAAAAAAGAATCTTTTGTAGTACAACACTTAATTTGAGAGGGAAAAAACCAGGAAAATAAACACTATATATTAACATGATATATATTACATATATATGTATATCTCTCTGAAATAAAATGAAAAGTGACAAACCCCCAAAATGTACCTAAGAATATAACTAGAAGATTCTGAAAATTCAGAACACTATTTTGCGACATTTAATGCTTATTTAAGCAGATATGGCAACTCTGATAAACAATTTTCAGTGGTCTGACTAATTTTTTAAATACTCCAAATAAATCATCCACCAAGCTAAGCTATTTAGACTCCAAAAGGCAAGGGATGAGGGTGAGGCTACAAAATAAGTTCCCTGCTCTTCTTCCTGTAAATCTGTAACAGAATTTTTTCTGAGAGGCAATGCTAACCTCACAATAAATTACTCAAATGCCTAAGATGGTATTACTTATAACAAATAAATAGGTAATATATAGGACTGTTCAATAAAACTTTTTTACTAATATGGTAAAATTGTCACCTAGACACACTATTCGGTACACAACACAAAGTGTCATCGAGTGATGAGATGTCAGACCACACCAAGTGTGTGTAAAAGCCACAGGCGTTCTGAGAAGGGGAAAGCAACACAGGTCAGAGTAGTCTGGACAAGCTTCAAGGGTGAAGTATCGATGGGTTAAAAGATCAAGAGATTTGGACAAGAAGAAAAGAAGACAAGCTGGCTCTCCAGGGGAGGGAATGGGCATGGATGCAAACAGGGAGGAAAGTTAAGAAAGGTTTAGGAAGCTCTGTGGCTAGAGCAGAATTGAGTAAGGTTAGTCAGATTGTAGATCTTCATGGGCTGGAGAAATGACAGTCTGTAAGTCTTGATAACTCAGCAAAAGCAGAACACACTCTACGCTACAGAGGAAAAGTGTACAGCCTTTACACGATCAGTCTTTAAATACACCACCAGAAGGCTTACGCTAGCTATAGTTGCTGTGCTGGGTGGTTCTCTCCTTGTTCTGTTAAAGGTTTACAGCCAACATTATACAACCTCCCCCATTTAAGGACAGAAGAACAAACAGAAGGTAAACAATAAATTCTCATTCCATTTTCAATGTTCTCACTGAATTTACCATAAATTATTTCCAATGTTTCCTTCTCTCCTGAGATCAAATAAAGCCAATAAAATGAATAAAATATACATATTTCACAAAACACACATGGATTTGGCAGAGAGAAATGTATTTTATCACATTGGTGTAAGACAGTTTTCAAAAGACTAAAGAACTGATCAAAAGGCAACTACTAATACTCCATATTCTTGAGGAAAAAAAATGACTTTTATCTTAGGGTTCAAAATGGTGCCCTGAGATGCTTACATTAGAGCTACTTTGAAAATGGAGATCACAAATAGACCATATCGGATCATTTCAATTTTTCAAAGAAGGGATAAAATAATCCATACTTTAAAATTCAGAAAACAAAACTTCAAAGAAAACCTTCTAGAGCAAATGGAGCATACTTTCTTTTTCTCTTCCATTTCATATTCACTACTAATCATCTGAACGTTTACATCCTGTTATTCGTGCTGTAATTTTTCACAGAATAAGAAGTTATTCTGGACTGTTGTAAAAATTAAGCACCCTTATTAAGCACCCTCACTTGTGGATGAGTGACTTAAGTCCAGCTTTAAAACTCACAAATGACTTATGTAATTCAATTTAAAATTTTGCAGTTCTCAAAAATTATTTCCAATTGCCCACTTTATAAATTCCAATGTAATCTGGAGGGCAATATTGTAGAATGTAGAGAAAAAATTCCTGGACTAATAGGAGCCTGAATTTCAATACTGACACAGCTACAATATCAGTGTGTAACAATGGAGGGACCTCTTATTCAAATGACCTTTAAAATGACAGATTGAACTGATATTTAAAGGTCTACCCAGTTATTTATGATCTCACATGGAAACTTGCTTGATATTACAAGTAGTAGTAGTACTTTAGGCAGAAGTAGTAGTCAAATTAAAACACTATTCTCTTTGTAAAAAGCACTAACCAATGTCCATGGCACATCGAAGACTCATGGCTCATTGACCTAACTGCTTCTACTCCTACCATTTGTATTGTGAGTTCAGCAATAATCAGTTGAGTTGGTTCCCAAACCTGTTTATTTACCTGTCACTTTATGTCTTAGGTTCAACGATGTGAAATTGATGATAATCAACTATTTTTGACAATCATATGGTGATTTCATGTGTTTCAACTCAAATATTATTAAATAGTATAAATAGAAATAGAAAGAAATAATACAACAAGGGAATTATGGTTTTTATGAAAAGCAAGGCAAATGTTTGGGAAGGCTTAATAAAAACCGATCACTAAAAAATACAGTCAAGTTAGGGATAACTGAAGTAACTACATAAAAATCTGAAAGGATTCTGCACTCAGATTGCTTCTCAAGTACTGGGCTATTCACACGCAGACACACACACACACGCACACACACAATTAGTGAATAAATATATATTTACATGTTTTAAACTAAAATGTTTAAGACAGAGGTTGGCAAACTTTTTCTGCAAAGGGCCATATAATTATTTTAGGCCACACACAGTCTCTGTCGCGTATTCTTCTTACTTGTCTTAGTTTTTCAAAACATTTAAGAACCATTCTCAGCTCTTAGGCTGTATAAAAACAGGCTATGACCACAGTTTGCCAACACCTGATACAAGATAACATGGATCAATGTATGCTTCCCCAGCTTTATCATTTTCTGATAAACTGACCAACTGATCATATCGTGATATGATCGTGATATCATATCAGATTAAGAAAGCATTTACTATAGTACAAACCATGCATCTATTTCTCAGCTACTTCTTCCCAACCCCCCCAAAACATTAAGTTTTAAGATTAGACATGGCACTTCTTTGGATTTATAAATACATTTTTTTCATGTGTTATATATGAGTTCAACTTTTCCAGGTGAGATGACTGACCTTCATTTAACTTCAAAAATAAGGCATGTAAGTCAAAATATGTGAAATATTGTCTACTTGGCTTTGTGACATTTATGATCAAAGCATAAGAACTAATAATACAAAATTCTCGTAAGGTATGACCAAAGTATAGTCTCTCAGAAATTAAATTTCAACTATAAAGTTCCACATCATTTTGATTTTTAAAAATCCCAAATAATGTAAATTAAACATTAAAAACATTGAACAGTAACATATAAAAACTTGGCAAGACAATTGTTTAAAAGTTTAATTACAAACAAAAGGTCACAGGTGTAGTTTATACCTAATTCCAGAAGCAATTTGATATGGCGTAGTTTTCCAGGATTCCGCATCAATCTGTTTACCATCAGGCAGAGTGACTTTAATTGGCTTGCTTGCTTTTTCTGCCTTTTCTGCCAGAATGGAATCATGTTCTGCTTTTAGTTTATTATACATTTCAAGACGCGTGTTAATATATTCAGGCCAAGGATTCAACTGCAAGACAATAAATGAGGAAATAAATAATCAGTAAATACTTGCTTTCCTTTTCAGAAAAGGGAAAGAATAAAAAGACAATTAAAAAACCCTGATTACTGATTCAATGTGGTAAATGGATTGCCAAAATCACCAAGCATTACCTTAATGTCCTAAATGAAGTTAAAATAGTTAAATGCTCTCTTCTTATAATTTTTACTTTAAGAAAATTTAAAAAATAGGGTATAAATAACAATAAATATTTGGGTTGCCAACAACCTATATGAACATTACCATTTTGCTATTATTTGCATAAGGTGATTTTTTTCTTTTAAGATGTTCTCTTAAGGACTTTTCTAACTAAACGATCTTAATTAACTGCAACTATAAACAATACTAGAAATAAAAACTAGCTGGCTTTTCCATTTTGTGTCAATCTTGTTCAAGATATGGTCTGTGAAGATGGTCAGACTATATTTCCATTCACAATTTTTAAGTAACCAACTATAAATTTATTTGACTTAAGGACTCCCATTCAAGGAAAGTTATTTACTGAATTCAAAGCCATAATAACTATCTTTCTTGGGAGGATTTAATTAGCAAATATAAGAAAAGAGCACAACATGATTGCCTACAGTGCATTAAATCAAGCAAATATTTTATGTAAAATATTTTATATAAAACATCCACTCAGGTTCCCAAAAATCTGACAAAGAAAAAAAACAGACAATAACCAGAGATTTGACTTCCTCTACTGTTAGACTCCAGTCTTTAAATCATTTCAAAAGGCAAGTTGTGAATCTGTGATCACAAAACAGTCAAACCACTAACATAATTTATGATTTTCAAATGAAAATGACCTGTATATTAAATTAACAGCTACATATAAAAGCGAAGAGGGGATGGCTTAAATTTACCATGAGTTTCTATATTCACATAGATTTAAATCAACCAGCTATAATAGCTTACTCAAATATATGCTTTAACACTTATTAAGTTTTGACAATGCTACCCAAAATTCCATATAAAATATATTTCAATATAACATGCAATCTGAAAGGAGCACAAGTGGATCTACTCCTTGAGAAGATGACTTGTGAGGACAGAAAATAAAAATCAGCCATGCTATATAGACTCACTGATCACCCAGCTTGTGTACCGTGGTTGCTGGTGGTCAGTTATCCACTATGTCACCTTCAG